ATATAAATTTCCGTGTGACAAACTGTAAATAATCAGATCATTTCAGGCCTGAAATGCGATCTCTCTTCAGGGAAAAGTTGTGTTGGCAAAGCTGGAAAAGCCTTAGAGAGGAAAATAAGAAGAGGGGGGCTCTCTGAAATGGCAGGTACGATGGATTAGCCCTTAAACTCATTACCCCAAAACTTCAGTTACACTGTAAAACATGGTACCAGCCCACTTCCGACCTTCACCCCAACGTACAAACGATTCTCGCAGGAGAAAAGCCACCCGCATTTCACAGCCTGCTGCAGCTAAAAGTAAGGATGGTGTTTATCTTCCCTAATTTAGCTGTTCAGAAGGGGCTTTTCGTGTCTAACGCTGGTCTCCTGGGTCCCTCCGCTCTCCCTTCCCTCCTGGATGGCTCAGGACTCCATGCGATATTCAGGAATAAATGATTATTGTCCCCAGCTCCTGCTGCAAATGCACATATCAAGGCAACTATGTGTCCACTGGCCAGGATTTTAACCCAGCTCTTGGTTTTCAGCATCTAAATCCTAAATGAGTGGAATAGATACCTGAGTGTTTTGTGGCGTTGCCATGGGTTTGCGTCCAGTAAACAGGCATGGTGGGTTAGCGTTTAGGGCACGTTTCCCTAGCCAGGGGGATTAGAAGGGAAATATCGTGTGCTTTGCTGCCTTTGTTTGGCCAAGGATGGACTGGAGAGCACGCCTGGGAGCCGCGGTCACACCGAAGACGTCCCTCTGCCTCCCTGCAGGCTCGCTCACGCGGTGGGACTGCATCGTACTCCGTGTCTGTGGGCAATAACATAAAAAGAAATGCCAGAACCAGAGGCTGCAAATACAAATATTTGGCTATTGGGAGGGTGGAAGTAGAGAGGGGGAAAAATTGTTGAAATTTAAGGGGTGCAGGTGAAAATAAGTTTCACCCTCTGAGCCATGCCCCGCGAGGTTACTGATGTGCCTCGTAGCCTGCAGGCAATGGTGCAGCCAAAACGTCTTGGTTTGGGACGTAGGCTTGCTTCAGTTTTGACAGAGGATTTCATGATATGCAATTAGCAAAGCTATTAATTAATCAATTAGGTAAAATAGATGAGCAATCAGATATCCTGTGCTACAATGATACAATTCATTGTTAAAACTTAATTAACTTCCAGGCTTGGGGACAGATGAAAGACATTGAGGGGGGAGAGGGAAAAAAGCAGTGAAGAACTGCGAGAGAAGGATTTCAAATTAGGATGAAACCTTAACTTGAGAGCGGAAGGGACCCTCGACCTTAGTGTGAGAGGCCGTAAGAGTGTGTTTGGGTAGATTAACCAAATATCCTGATGTTGTTCTCTAATGCTACGGCCAGCTGACCCAAAGGCTGCCCTTCTGCTTGCCAAAAATAAATCCACGGAAATGCCCAAGCGTATTTGCGTGTGTCGGGGAACGAACCTCCGGCTCCTCTCCTGCGCGTTGCAGGTACTGCAACAGCAGCTCGGCTGAGCCGCAGCGTTAGCGTCGCTAGCAGTCCCCAAAGCACATTGCGAGGTGCGGGATTTCACTTGAATTGTACCAAAAGCTACTGGAATATTGATCTGCTGTAATCGCCCCTTGTAACTCAATGTACTTCAATAGCCTGCGTTCATCTGCGAAAACCTACGTCTTGTTACAGACTCAGTTTATTTAGTTTTACTTTAGGCTAGTACTTATTTAGGTCAATCCTTTGCCAGTTCTGATGAACTGATATGTCATCTGTGATGGAGCAATTGGCTTTATGTTCCTGCTTGCATAGACTTGGCGGTATTTGTGTTAGCTGAATTTGTGATATTCAGTATAGAAAGATAGGTATAAAAACCTAGAAGTCTCTGTATAACAGGAGACACAATTTCAGCTTCGGTAATACATTTTCAAGCATAAAGCAACGTGCTTCTGCACCTTGCTTCTAACATTATGCTCTGGGTTCACTTTCCCCGTGTTTAGGGGCCAGACTGCAAATGTGTTGGCTGGGAATAGAAGTAGAGTCATGATCCAGCAATGATTTTTTATTGAGTAACTACAGACGAGAAAAGGCAGTTATTACCTGGCAAGGAAACCGCATTTTAAGTTTTCTTTACGTACTCTGGCTGCCCAACTCTTTAGTGGGGAATTGCAGGAATTTATAGTGATGGCCTAAAGAAGTTGATGCTCGAGACCAGGAGCGGCCAAGCATCGTATTTCTTCCAAAATCCGGTGTCAGCAGTGGGGTTTTTTTTTTGCACAGCTACAGCTGGGGAGGGTGGTTTCACAGCCCTTTAATGCGCGCATGAGAGTGTTTTGCATCTCTCCGCCTCATTCCTGGGCTGATACAGCGCTGGTGAAATCCGGATGCGCGGCAGGCTCGCTCTGCCCTCCCCGCTTTGCTCTCCTGGTTTTCGGGGATGCATGCCAAGCAGTTACGTCCTACCGGGCGAGGGCCAGCCCTGCTCGCGGCGGGAACTCGCCGCCGGGGTTCGAGGGTTGCGACGGGCTGATCCCGGACTGCTCAGAGCCGTGGGACTTTTCCATTGCCTTGAACGCAAGCAGGATCTGTCCTGAAGCGCAGCGGGTAGGACTGCCCTGGCCACGTTCTCGTTCTCGGGATAAGCTTACCGAAATCAATTTGCTGCTTCAGTTTTTTTTCTTCCAAGACTGAATAAAGCCTATTCTTCGCTCTCACCTGGCCTAAGGGGCAGTCCAGTTTCAAAGGTGGGAAGGAGCTGAAATTCAAAAGCTTATAAATAACTCCCCACCTCTTTTCAATCTAGTCGAAAATCTCTAAGGTTGTGCAAAGCTACTGAGACTTGCGTGTGTGTGTTTGTTTTTTTTTTTTTTTTAAATCTCATCCTTTGGTTGTCAAAATTTAAGAAAAGCAAGAAACTAACCATTAGCGATGGCTCTAATGTTAATGTTTTTTAGCTGGTGCGCAGCGCAGCAGGCAATTTTGTGGGGGGGGGGGCGGAAAAAGAGAAAGTGTGGTCGGGCATGCGTGCGTGAGAGCACGCGTCTCACAAAGGAGGTTTAAGAGAACAATTTCATACGAAACAAGATCAATCTAGCTTAGTTACTGTCAAAATAACACTAATGAGGAAAAAAAAAATGCATATTGGAAAACAGAGAAGAAAAGGCTATTTCCTTGCGCAGGCGCAGCCGCCCCGTGCCCAGCACTGCCCCGTCTGGCAGGTTTTGCTGCGGACTGAAGGACCACGTTCTGGCGAGGCCAGTGGGAATGAGGCCGAGCTCACGGTCCAGGATGGAACCGCAGAAAAGGTAAAGACAGATAAATCAGTGAAGCGTGTCAGGACGTAGGTGGGATGCAGTAACCCGCTATGGGTGTTTTAATATCTGCAGCCCAAGTACTGGTCCACAGCATTTAGCCAAGTACAAGCTGCTGTAGGAGAGCTGAGCAGAGTCCCGGTGATGAAACACCAGCTCGGCCATGTGCGAGGCACGGACGAAATCCCCGGAAGTGGCTAGCCAAAACCAGGAGTGTCTAAAGACAGCGGTGACCAAAGCAGGATAGTGCTGACTGCAAGGCCCTGGCATTTATTTTTCTGTACAGCAGCTCCTTGGAGAGCAGAGAGGTTTTAGGGGCTTCATTCCCAAAGCATACTGGGGACCGAGCTCTCCTTGCTCCTCCAAAACACTCAGTTTAAGTTTTGGCCTCAACCAACACTTCTCAGGGCAGATGATCGTAACAGTAAATATAAATATATGTATAAATATATAGAAATATATAAAATGAGTGTGTGTAGCTATGTATGAATGAAGTACGTGCAACATAAAATCAAGCTTGCAAGCTGCCTGCCATGTTGACTCTAGAAGGGATTAAAAGAAAAAAAGCCAATCCTTAACCCTTCCCCACAAATAAAACCTCATTAGCAGCTCACACGCTCTTAATCTTAGGGTTTTGTTTGCTGGTTTGTTTGCCTTCCAGCCCTCCGAGACACAGTGGCTGGCATCTGGTGCAGCTGAAGCACGTAACCACGAAAGCTCCAGCGCTTCAAACCGTTTCGAAGGGTTCAGCACGGGGAAAGCTCGTTTGTTCTCAATGTCAGGTAAGGCGCCATGCTGCAAGTAATGATGTGTGTTGCCACTAATTGACTAACGAACAGACTAATGAACGTGAGAAACTTAACATAAATTTAAGGCAGGTTCTAGACAGCTTTCGACCTTAGAGAAGACGTTTTTCTGTGCGCCTTCGCAGCTCAGCCTTATGCTTGCTGCATGGTGGCGTCTTGTCCCGGATCAAGCTGGTGGGGGTAAGCGTTCAGCTTCTGCCCAAAATGATGCCCGTGTAGTGTGTGGTCAACCTGATAATAATAAAGTTTAATGCTTTCATGTGGCACTTCAGTATCGACTGAAATAGTTGGACGTATGGAGGAAAGGTGAAGGAAGAACGCTTTTAACCCAGTAACTAGCACTAACTAAACAGCCATAACGTTGGCTGTTTAAAGTCCCTTAATAATATTGAAGATAAGCTGCAATTTAATGACTCAGGCAGAGACAGAAAACCAGAAATTTATAGGGAATGATGGCTTTCCCCCCTCAGTTGTACTTAATTTAATTTTGTCCTCATTTATAGTGTAGAGAATGTTAATATGACTGTATTTATAGACTTGCCCTGGATAACTTCAGGAGAGACAATACTAAGGAAAAAAATATCATGGTTTGCAAACTGGGGAGGAAGAAAGATTGAAAGCTTCCTTCTCCCCCGCTTCAGCTCATATCCTTATAAATTTGGTTTTTTTTTTCATAATTTGAAAAGTCCGGATTTTTACAGTCATTGCTTTCAGTTTGATTTCACATCTTCTTTTAAAGTTTGATTTTCTATAGCCCTTACATCAGCTTCACAGATTACAGCTGACATTGAACAGAGGTAGAGGTATAAACCTGCAATACAAAAGAGCATCCCGTTCCATGCGTGACTGAAATGCAGACTCAAGGTACTGCAGTATTTTTGATCCCCAAAGTTTAATAAATTTCAAGACAGGCAATGGGGAGTCGCAGACAAATTAAAATTTATTGAGACAGACAAAAATGCAACTATTTCAGACTACAATTAAGCCTTTACAGTTAACCAAAGATAGCAAAATGTTCACATTCCAGTTAACTCCTTATGGAAAAAGCATTCAGGATTTACTATGCAGTTCTACTTACTATGATAGCCTACATCCATCTACAGTAGGGACATCGAACTGAAACACGGAATATTTGGATCTCTCCGTACAGCTCTACACATTTAACAGGAACGGACATCAACAGCATTGAGAAAAGTATAAAAAGACCAAAAACCACCTACTGTAGAAAGGGCTTTTTTGATGTATAGTAACTGTACAAAGCGGTCTATGTAGTAAAGGAACTTGAATGGCGTACAGAAGGGACTGCAATAAAAGCCAACAAATGTAGGAAGCGAAGCTTGCGCGATCTGGTGGTCTGTATCAAGTGGTGACCTTAGATCTATGTCACTGGCTGCTTGAGGGGAAAGATGCTACAAAACTTCTAATATCAAAATATTCCCATGCCAGAAATGTACACTGAGACTACAGGCTAGGCTGGCAAGGCAAAGAGTAGCATTCACTAACAAACAGTGTTGTTTTAAATATAAACTTTACATTTTCAATATAAACTGTAGAATAAATATTAAATAAACTTCAAATGGCTTAAAATAATGGTCCGGAATAGCTTAAAAAAAGGCAAAGAAAAGAAGTATTCTTTGTGTTCACAGCGAAGGCCATTAACGACCCAAAAAACCCAACTGTGCTGAAATCTGAACTCAAGGAGATTTTGATTTAACCACAGCAGTTAAAAAGACACCTTGAAACATAAAGCGATGCCTAACAGTATTTCATAGTCTCTAATACGAAAAGAAAATGAGATTAAAAATTGGTTTGTGTCTCTAAAAGAATGGGACATCTCTGTTTCCATTTTTAGACAATGAGAAAATGTTTGGAAGGTCAATGATTTGACGCAGCCAGGAAGTTCTGCTTTTGCAAAACAAAACAAAAAAAAAAAGGCAGTAAAGTAAGTCAGAAGTAAATTAAATGCTTTACAAAGCTCCCAGCTGTGCGTGTGGGTGTGGGTGTGGGTGTGGGTGCACAGAGGTGTGTGCATAGAGGAAATGTGTTGCCCACCCAAGGTATCTGCCCTCGTACACCAACCTGCCCGGCTGTGCTCGTAGTTTCCCCTGGGGCCACAGCATGTTTGAGTTTGTGAGTGTGCGAGACAGTGACTGCTTTCAAGTTTGGGAGAAAAAATATAAAACCTGTCAACTCTCACTTGGACTAGTCGCATGCTAGAGATGACAGGTAGGGCACGATTAATGGGGTAAGAAGGGGACGGCAGTGGCACGTCTGCTCATGCAAACCGGAGGACTGTCCATATATCTTATGTCCATGTATCATATATCCATATCTTCAAGGATTTACTTAGCTAGCTATTAGTTAACTATCTTGCATGTTTTGCAAGTCATGCAGGAGGGCCACAGCCTTGCACCCTGGTGTTCCCTGCAAGGGCTTGGTTAGACGGGCAACACACTGGTGCAAGGCTGGGCAGGGAGAAGGGATTTACTGCGTGGCCTTTTGAGCAGTGCACAGGTCCAGGATAAGCGATTGTAAAGGAACACAGGAGAGCAGGAAAAAAAAATGCATGTACGGGAAGGGCGTCCCTTCACGAGCAGAAGCATGTTCTGTGATTGATTTTTTTTTAGCAGCTCCTCAGTCTTATGTCAGAGCGAGTGAAATGGCAAATCTGTGGCCAGTGGCAGGTCCTGCATGGGACCGCAGTGATAGACCCAGAGACTAAGGTTTTAATTAATAAAATGCCAGAATGAAGCTAGCTGTGATGGGCAAGAAGCAAGCTACTGGTGATGCTCAAAATGTTTCCCCCAGAAACATACTATTTAAGGAAAGCGAAATGCGGGTTGTGTCTGTTCCTTTTGCAAGTCAGCATAATTTTCTGTGAAAGGCAAGAAGGAAAAGGGTGTGTGTGTGTGTGTATGTGTGTGCTGTGTAGCTCACAGTGATTTTTAAATAGCTTTTCAAAAGCTAGAGGGAAACCAAAGGGATTTAATTTGAAGCAGGGTGGATTGCCAGCCTTTCACAAATGACTGTTTAGGTAGCTTTTTGCAGGGAAGGGGTGCAAAACAGCACATAAAACAAATTCCTCATGATTTTACACATCCTTCTGCATTAATAACAATTATGCAGGCTTAGTCTTTGTTTTCAGGTCATTAATCTAGACAAATGGGAAATGAAAGAGGAGAAAACAAGTGAGTCCCTGCAACTTGTATCGCCTGAACCAACAGTCCCCTTTCTGTACTGCTTTTCTGCTCGCATCTGGAGGCGCAGGTCTGACGCGGCGGGAGAGACGGGCTGCAGAGCTCGCAGAGGCTCAGCCGCACGCAGAGAACGGGGAGAGACGGGCTGCAGAGCTCGGAGAGGCTCAGCCGCATGCAGTGACTACAGCCTTTGTGGGCGAGGACCACAGCCTTTGGGCCGGCGTCCCCTGAAAAGTGACTCCTGCCAAGCGAAATGGGATTTGCCATGGACTGGGTGAGCCACCCACTTTTTACTCCGTGCCGTCCCCGGTTCCATAGCCAACACTGTAACTCAGAGGCAGAACTCTTCCCCTTGGAGGCGTTTTCTGTGCAATGAGCACATTTTTAATTCTGCAGAAGTACACCACAGGCAAATCACAGGCACTGCTACAATACTTAACATCTGCCTCCCAGGGCAATAGTGGAATTCAGGTACCCAGAAAAGCATCCAAAGCTATTGGAGCGCCTTTTGCTGTATTGATGAAAGGGGTCCTACATGCTTTCTGTTCCTGAAACCTTCGCACTACAGCCAGGGAGCTCTTCCTCATGTAAGTGTCCGCACTGAAAAGTTTATACAATTAGGTCTCTAGTTAAACAACAGCAGTCAACGTGGCCTCTCCTCCAGCATCTAACATCAAGAGCAATGGATGAATCTAACTGCTCAGGGTGCCAGGTGTGCTCGGTCACATCCACCCAACTTGACTTCTCAAGGAGAAGGATTAAATGCCAACCGCTAATCACGAAACAGGCACGCCAGCGAGGGTGACCACACACTACCCAGCCAGAGCTGCCTGCCTTCTCTGAACATGCAAGTTCACTAACATGCAAAATTACGTATTAACCACCTAGCATAGAAAGACTTTTTTTCCCCTTTAAAAAAGTGAATCAACCAAATACATTCCTGGTGTAAGTCATGGACATCAATGGAATTAATCTATGTAGCTTGAGGGTAAATTTGTTCCTAAATGTTTTTCTATAGTAAAAACAAACAAACAACCCCTACTCCCCACAACAAATGTGCCTGCGTACATAAATATTCCTTTCCTTGGCTCTTCCCACTTCTTCATGTTACTGAAAACAGCAAAAATAACATATGGTCACCATAGTACGTTCCTGCATCAGAGAACGGCAGGGGGAAAGGACATCAAAATAATTTAGTGTCAATGTGCTGCGATACTGTTGTAGAGCTAGGAATATATGAGAGATGCTGAGGGAATCACAGACTGCATTTTAATATTATTCTTCTCTTTTATAGAGAGACGCGAGGAGCTTGTCATACTGAGCAGGGGAGTCACGCTTTTGCAACATGACCACCTCAACTTGCTTTTTGAAACAGGCCAAATAAATATTAGCTGTTTAAAATAAGGAAGCGGCAGCTTATTACTTTTGATGGTTAGTGTCTTTGACAGCTTCATAGCTTTTGAGTGAGGGACAAGGGCCAGGCGGGTGCACTGGGGTGGGAGTCGGGAAGCAGAGGCAGCTCTGCACCACCTTAGTGCAACTCGTAGTTCAAATGAGTTCAGACAGAAGCTGAAGAACGGCTAGTTCGGAGATGGCCGTGCTGCTACAGATTTGCAAAATGCTCTTTCCTCAAACTCTTTGAAAGGCAGATTAATTAGGTTCCCCGGCTGCCGGGCCCGAGCCACGGCAGCTGCAGGGTCTCAGGAGATCTCCATCGAGCCCGTATC